CATAAAACGAAATTATAAATTTGATAATAAGCAACGAGTTATTATTATTTATTTCTTAATAGTGCAACATTCTCGATAAAATAGAAATAATATTAAAACTGACTAATAATAGATCTTTAAATAATAATAAATTTCAAATATTTATAAAAAATATATATTTCGACGTTCAGCGATCGATGTATACATTTGTGAGAGAGATGAGAACACGATGGTCGAACTGACGCTGACGTTAACCATCGAGAAAGCGATTTATCGGCACTCCGTTTATCAGGCGTAGGGTGGCTCAGAAAATCGATGCTACGTAGCTAAGTAACTGGAACGCGAAGACGGCATAGGGGGTGTGTCCTCGAGGGAGAACGCGCAACCCTACGTCTTTTCTCCTGCCTGTCGGTGTAGAAAAAAAATTATCCTTTAATATCCCTCTACTACTTATTATTTCTTTCTCCAAAAAATAATATACATATATATATATAGGTACATCTTTTTCTTCTATCAAAAAATGATATCAATTCTATAAATTAATTTGAACAAAAGAAAATTTCACAATGAAAAATCAAATAAAATGAATTAATCTCGATAAGCAAATCGCAGCTAGTTGATCGTTTCAAAATGAAAATTAAAAAATGTCTCTTTGAATAATAAGAAAAAAATATCTAATGGTCTTTGAAACGAGAGAAAGAGAGAGAAAGAGAAAGAGAGAGATAGAAATAATGGAATGCGAGTGGTCGAGGAGGGTGGCAAAGCGGTCGAACAAACTTCCTCAATATCCTCGTCTACTCCGCGAGAGCGTGCATGCCGCGTGTGGCGAGCGAAGCAGATATTAAACTTAATATACGGCCGCAATTAGGCGCAGGCCTTCGCCCTCCGCAGTTACACGCTCTCCTTCTCTTATACTCGTTCGGTTTCTCCTTGTGCGTTTTGTGTTTACCACTGCGCAAGTGCTGCTTCATTCGGTGTGCGTGTTCGCACAAATGCACGGCAAATCGCGTCACCCTTATACACAATCACATATACACAATCACATATACGCATACGCATAAATATCATATATATGTATGTAATGTGTATATATACACACATACACATCTATAACATATATGTAGTTAAACCTTCTACACATTTAATGTTATTTCTCTTTGTCTTAAATCATTCGATCGAATGTCAAGCTAATTAGCCGCGAGAACGTCCTCAGTAGTGGTGCTTAATTGGATCGACGTTTTGAGAGTCGCATGATAGTGATGAAAGTCTTTTCGATCCGATGAAGAAAAAATTACCCGAGAAGAATTTGAACGTCTGATCGTTAACAAATCTTCGGAGCAGCAGCACGGCACTTTATTATTAGGAGGGAAGACAATAATACGCGAAGACTTTTATTTATGTCGCGGCCGATAAGGAATGAGAAAGAAACTAGAGAAACAAGAAAAAATAAAAGAAATGAAAAACCATGTCGATCGGTGTACGATAATTAACGAACCTTGACCAATCAAGCCGTAACGATACAACGCTCGTTAACGTCGCCCGGATCTTCATTACTATAAACGAATATATAAATAAAAAAACATTTTTGAAAGATAGAAAGAGAAAGGCTATACCGTTCGATGACCGAGCTTTTCTCTATTTTTTTTTTTTTCGAATATTTTATCAATTAACTCACGATTCAAGTCGTCTCGGGCGTCGTTTTTCGAAGCTAATGATTCCTGCTTGTCTCTGCTTTGTTTCTCTATATCAAATCACTGAAAGTACTACGCAAAATGAATACATATGAATTATGGCAATAAACGACTCGAATCGAGTTTCAAAATTGATCGTTGTTCATGAATGGATTTAATTATGCGAATATTTTTCTCTTCTGATTTTTTAAATCTTTATAAAAAAAGTAAATTGTTTTATAATTATTTGTTCAAAAATGTCATTTTAAGCTCATTGGAATATAATTTAATAAATAACTAATCTATCCAATAAAATATAATTTTAAAAAGAAAAATCGACATATTTCAAAAGAATTAGTCTTTTTATCTCATATAAATGCTTGATATTTAATGCTTGTGGCGGCACTTCGTCGATGGCCGCCAACGGATATTTATGGTGAATGAAATGGCCGCAATCAGGTTCACCGGTTTTCGTAGACCGACGAGAACTCTGGACTGGAAAGGAAGAAGAAGAAGAAGAATATAAGAAGTGAGAGTGAGAAAGAAAGAAAAGGTTGAAAGAGAGAGACAAAGAGAGAGTGAAAGATAGAGACAGATAAACAGACAGAGAAAGAGAATAAGGGATAGAAGAAGAGAGGAAGGGATGGAGGAAGGGAAAGCTGCAACGAAGGGTTTTCGAGCTCTGCCTTGACTTGCCCCTGCGTGATGTGCCGCCAACAGGATGGAATGGTTCCCCTTCGGTTGCCAAGGTAACGTATGGCGCACCCTTCGAGTTTCGACTACCACCTCGTGGTGCTGCAGCGCTCCGTTTTTATGCTTCGTGTGTTTATGTGTGCGTAGGTGTATAAGTGTGTGTATGTCGAGACCGTGCGCACATTTCCCTCGAAAAAACACATACCGACACACGCGTCAGGGTGTGTGCTAGTCTACACGTATAGACACATATACACCATACATGTATATGCACACACATGTACTCTGTCTCTTTCTCCCTTATTCTCTTTTGCTCTTCGTGGACCACATTGCTGTGAACGGCCATGCTGAATTCAATATCAGCATTCTCTGCATTCTCTCAGAATTTTCTCCTTGGCACTGAACGATATGTGCTTGATGGTTTAACCTGCATCAAGATCCGCGTTCGGTTCTCACCATCGAATGCTTCCTCGCCGAGAGGAAGGATCCATCGAAGGTACCGAGGGAACTCCGAGAATTCACCTTTTCCCGAGTAGTATCGAGTTTACTTTTCTTTTTAAAATAACGGTCGCTTGTGAAAACTACGATTTTGTCTTTTTCTTTTCCTTCCTCTTTTGCAAATCTTTCACGAATCCGTAGTTTGATTTTGCATGACATTTTGAAAGCTATGCTATAGCGATTTTTATAATACCTAAATATTATACTATACTTTGAGATACGCGGTACCACTAGTTAGTTAAATTTTTTTATGTTATATTTAACATAATCGATTCAAATGTTACGATATCAATTTGATATAAATTGATTATTATTCGTGTTTTTAAATGTGTGTATTATAATGATATTATCTATGTAATCAATTCTCAGTGTTCATAAATCACCGAAGGCGTTTAGAATAAATGCCTAACGATATCGTTTTATATTATTATCAGATTTCGTGCAATAAAATCTTCCCCTTGATTTATTAGCCATTCTTTATATTGTACGTGCGAAGAAACGTAAGTAGACTTACAAATTAATTGGCTTTTATCGAAGATGCATCTTTTAAAAGCGTGTTTGTAATACGAGGAATGCCAAGAGAAGGAATAAAGGTTTATTATTTAAAATGTTTGATTTAAATAACGTGTTTTGACCGACGCATATGTTCTAACGTTTCTTGCTTTGAAAATCCAACATATTTTGTTCGAAAGTGCCTTGAGAAGTTAAGATTACGAGAAAATATTTTCTGTCAGTATGATACGTTCTTATCTTCTATCGTTGTGATATGCATTATAGTTGATCTCCAAAAAAATTGAATCGATCTTTGAAAAATAGAAAAAAATAAAGAGAAAAAAAGAGAGGGAAATAGTAAAATGAAATAATAAACAATACTTGTCACGGCAGGAAGAATTTGTCAGTCTGGTTGACTTATCCGTTCAATAGCAACTCTAGTTGTCGCTACTCAAATATTCCATTATCGTTGAAAATTTATAAGTCCATTAAAAAGAGAATTCACGTTGCGTTCATTCCACCTTAGTAAAAATTTACGATATCTCGCATTTTCACACCGATGTCATGTGATACTTGAATGCTTATTTCGAATTGTGTGTGATTCGAATACTGATCGATATGATAATTGGTGTGGCTGTTCTTCTCTTCCTGCGATTACCTCAATCGATTGTTTATTTATGACTGCATTATGAGAGTATATTAAGATAAGTATGCGGAAAAAGGAGAAATAAGCCTACTTTGCTATCTGTTGTAATACAATTAATTAGAATTATTGTATATTCCTTCATTTTTCGTTAGCTAAAACAATAAAAAAATATTTTTTTTTTGGACACCTAAATCCTAACAGCAAGATTCAAGGACGTTCACAGTTTGAAATTTTTTAGGGAAAGATACTTTCAGGTGAGTCGTAGGCATCAGGTATACCGAATTACGCGCTTGAATTTCGATAACCATTCAAACATCATAAAAAACTTCGAATCGTTTTGTTCGGCAAGACTGCGTTTACGGCCTTGACTTTCTCCAGGAAAGTCAGATTACGTAAAAAACGGACATCTTTTATAAAAGGGTTCTTTTTTTCAACTTCCTCTACGACAATGGAAAAAAAAGGAGTCAGACTTTCTTTTTTTTTCTTTTTTAGGCTTCTTTTACAGTTTTTTAGCTATATTCTTTCAACCCCTGCAATACAGGCAGGCACCACTCAGAGATAACATTTTTTTCTTTTTCTTTTTTTGTTTCTCTCATATGAAGAGAAAGTTATGAAGGAGAGAGTTAAGATTTGTGACTGACATCCGAATGACGATAGTGATGATGATGGCGGTGGTGGAGATGGTCAGTCAAGAAAGAAAAGAGTCAAACTTTCCAGATGTGAGATACGCGGGGAGATCCATGAGATTTTTCGTGCAACTCGTTTATGGCGATCTTCGTTCTGTAACTTCTTGTTTAAAGATAAGTTGAGTCGACTTGGCGTAACGTACCACAGAACATTTTTTTACGATTGCAATTTTGGAAAAAGAATAAGAAAAAGAAAAACAAAACAATAAAGAGAGAAAATGAAATGGCGGAAATAGGAGCGAATAGAATATAAATAAAATCAAATGCGGAATAAATGGAATGATTCGAGAACATATATAAAAAAAATTAAAGACGACCGTTCTTATTATTTTCCAGGTCCAAATGGTTGTCCGAGGCGTCGAGGAAGACAAACGTACACGCGATTTCAAACGTTGGAATTGGAAAAGGAGTTTCATTACAACCATTACCTAACGCGACGGCGGCGAATAGAAATCGCGCATGCCCTATGCCTGACGGAACGGCAGATCAAGATCTGGTTCCAGAATCGCAGAATGAAGCTGAAGAAGGAGATGAGGGCGGTTAAGGAGATCAACGAGCAGGTGAGACGAGAACGAGAGGAACAAGACATGATGAAGAAACAGCAGGCTGAGAAACAGGCGAAGATGCAGCAGGAACAACAAAATGCAGCACTTCAGCATCAGCAACAACATCATGTAAGCGGTCTGGACAAGTCGCAGAGCGATCTACTGAAGGCGGTTAGTAAGGTGCCGACATAGGAGACCTTGCTGAACCGACTCTCTTTCTTTTAAAGGAAGAAACTAGAGACTGAAGCGACCTGGACGGATACGCCTACGAAAACAAGCGGACGGCTGGTAAGCGGACGGCTTCTTCCTCGCCTTCCTCCTCTCAACCCCACCTTAATAACCTCCTCCCATTCCTCCTTACTTCTCCTGCAGTTCGTTAAGAGGAAGGAACAATGCAGGAAGGAAATAAGAAGGAAGCTTGACAAAGGATCCACGAGACATCGAGAGAGACCGTACCACAAAAAGAAGAAAGGATTTACCCTAGTCTGATATGGCCTTCGACCATCCCCATCCCTCCTTTATTATTCCTCATTTAGATATATATTCTTATTATTTTTCTCTCTTTATCATCATCTTCCTCTTCCATCTCCCTAACGAGGAAAGGCATCGAGGTAGACGTTACGCTAACATAGTAGAAATACATAACGAAAACCGCATCGAAGTCTCGATTCTAATGTACTTATTTACTTACTCGATGACCGGCCACTCTACAAGCTTCCCTCCGCAAATAAGGACAATGGGATATCGGCTGGTCTTTGACTGATTCCTAGAACATATAACGTGTATTTGTTAAATCGGCGAGCGTGATCGACGTAAAGGAAAGATAGAGATGGCCTTCCTCAAGACTATGAAGATATGTGACACGGACTCCCAAACAAAACCAACTCTTGGCGGAGACGCGACAAAGAAAGTGGTGGGGGATTAGGGAGTGATATAAGAACGATCAAGAAGCTAGGAGAGAGAGAGAGAGAGAGAGAGAGAGAGAGAGAGAGAGAGAGAGAGAGATAGACTAATGATTTTAACTCGAAAAGAACGATTAAGCTTTGACCTTCCGTATATTAAACAGAGCATACGAAACTGCCATCGGAAGTCATCCGAACGCTCATTTTCAACGTGCTCTATGTTTATACTTGACTAAATGCTTAAAGGGTAAATACGATATTACGATGTTTCTCTATTCCATGTCTCACTCTCTCGTGGCTCTTCGGATTAATCACATGAAGGAAGTCGGAGCAACGAACGTAGCGTTTGCGAAAATTTTGGACAGCTCGTTGACGTTTCTCTACTTCCGGTATTCGTTAGGTATTATTATTATTATTATTATTATTATTATCATTATTAATTATTATTATCATTATTATTATTAATTATTATCATTATTATTATTATTATTATTATTATTATTATTATTATTATTATTATTATTATTATTATTTTGCGTCTTTCAAAATGATTTAATCGTTTGTTGCTTCTCACAAAATAACTCGATCATCCGCGATAAATTCTCGCTATTGTTTATTTCGGAGTTGGCTTTAGCAAATCGATATTTATGGTTTTTTTATGCACTTTTCTTTCTTTTCTTTTTTCTCAATAACGGGACTAAGAAAAAAAAGAGGAGAAAATAAAATACCTATAAAGAATAAACACGAACGGGACGACGACGACGTCGAAGACGACGCGGCGGAAGGAATGCGACAGACGACTTGGCAGCTATTAGTGACGTTAATATTATTATTAATATTATTATTACTATTATTATTACTATTATTATTATTTCATTATTATTATTATTATTTCATCATTATTATTATTATTATTATTATTATTATTATTATTATTATTATTATTATTATTATATATTATTATTATTTTAATTTTTATCATTTATATCATTATTAATTATTAATATTATTAATATTATTATTGTTGTGCCGTTTATGATATTGTTTTTCGACGTAGACAAAGTGTCTCTTCGAAAAATGTTTATTTTTTTACGAGCACCGAATTTAAGGTCGTTAAATTGTCGATAGAAATTGTTAAATTTCATCTTATTTTTCTTTTATTCGAGTTATCATGCGTTAGAAATGTTACAGGGCTCTTCGAACTGTCGTTCGTTAAAAGCCAAGAGATCTTTATTTTAGTTACGCGACTAATATGCGTTTAGAGATTTTTATTGAATGGAAATAACAAGAAGAACCGGTAATTCTTGCCACATCTCGCGAAAAAATATCGATATATAAGTGTGAGATATTAGATGAAGAATAATTTCCGAGAAGCTGGGTGCTATTTTTTTTCTTTTCATTCAGAGTTTAGTTCTTTTTTAAAAAAAAATTTTTATTCTTTTATTTTTTTATTTACAAATTTTTATTCCTGTATTATATATTTTATTTTTAATTTTTACTTAAACAATGAAGAAATGTGGAGAGTTAATATGAAAAATTTTTCTATTTGTTCGAATGGGTCGGTCGGTGCAATTATATTTGGCTTGTTGCTACTCTTTTCGCGTTCCTTCTCTTTTCCAATTTTCTACTTCATATTTTTCGCAAAAACGATACGAACGTGAAACTGTTGATTGAAATAAAAATAAATAAATAAAGAAAAGAAATGAATAAAATAAGAAGAAAGCGCGCAAATGCATCGCATAAATAAAATAAAAATATGCGGAGCATGCACGTAAGAATTAATTCTCACCGGACGAGTATCTCACTCTTAGTACATTAAATACGTAATTTGGTGTCAGGGTAGACCTTTTCCATAGATATAGAAATCCCGTTGTTGGTATTACATACTTAACAATTAGATTATTCGTAAAAAAAATAAAAAAAAAAAATAAAAAAATAAAATGCGAGGAAATGTTATGCGAATGTAAGAGAGCGAACGAGCGTGTGAATAAAAGAGAGAGAGAGAGACAGAGAAGGAGAGAATGCGAAATAAATAAAGAGAAAGCATTAAGCAAAAATTAAGCAAAAATTTGGAAAATTATAGTATAAAAATTAATGCATATTATTTTTCTCTCATCCTCCTCAAGCCTAGTGCCGTTTGCCGTACTTAGATCCTGACCACGATTCGTATCTACAATAATTTATCTGTCGATTGTCTTTCCTAGAATAGCAAAAATATACGATAAAAATTAAAAAAAAAAAAAAGAATCTTACGCGTATCTAACGCGTGTATGTTTTGGATACCTTTAAAATGAAAAAAAAAAAAAGTAAGATAAAAAAGAACCGATAATCGTCCGATTTAAGGTGTATATTTGTATGTATACATGTATTTACATATAAGTATGCAAATTACTGTTACGAATCGTGGAAGAGTCAATGATATACGTAATAATATTGTAGACAAAAAATTAGAAAACAAATATAAAATATATGCATAATTGCATAGCGCCATACTTACGTAAAATGCATAATACACGTATCTGTACGAAAGAAAAAAAAAACAACAGCACACAAGAATCTCTTCTCTTCTAAAGTCAGGATTTATCGTACGCTAGGCATTTGTAAGAAATGATAACGACATAAAGCCATATTGTACACACAGACCGTATTATATATACAAATATATATTATATTAAAAATATAATAGATATATTATTACATATATATATAAATACGAGAAAAGAAATTGAAGAAACCTATTGTACACCGTGCTCAAAAAAAAAGACACACATTAACACGTAATTACAAGTAAATGAACACACAGAGAGAAATTTTGATAGAGTGATAACGTTTTAGAATACGTATAATATGTACGTAATTAAAGAATAATAATGCGCGACTGTTTATTCGAAAAAAAAGAAAACCATACGATGGGGATGCTGAAAAAGAAAAGAAGAAAGCCCAAGGCCAAAACACGGATGGCGACTTTTTTACGGGAAAGACGAGAATAAAGATGACAGAGAGGGGAAAGAGAAAGCTTGAGGATATTAAATAAGAAAGGAGGGAAAAGGGAAAAGGAAAGAAAGAGGAAAACAAACAGACATCCGCACCAAGGGCGAGAAGGAAGGGAAATAAAAAAAGAAAATTCCTACCCACATAGAAACGGGATAACGGAGACGAAGCCGCGTTCTTATTACTACTCTACCGCTGATTATCTTAAAAAGCTAAACTAATAATTATAAATATTATCTTATACGTAACTTTTAACGATTAAGCTTTGCGCATGCGAATTCGCGAAGACGATTTTACTTCTTGGACGACGAAAATATCTCTCAGCGTATAATGAAACTCGCATACTGCGATCGGAAAGAAAGAATTAAAGGAAGAAAGAAAAAGATAGAAAGATACAACAAAAACACATACACACACAAAAATGGACGTATGCGTGTATAAATAAATGGATGAACAAACAAACAAGCAACAAGTAAAGAGAGGAAAAGAAAGAGAGAAATATAAAATATGTGCGTCGATTAAAATCAAATTTCTCGATAGAAAATCGTTCGAATTGATCTATTCTTCTTAATCCTTACTATTTCTCTAATTATAAATTTTACTCAAGGTAACTAAACAGACGAATGAAAGCATGTTGTAACGTAAAGAAAAGGTTCGAACCAATTCTTCGAGAAATGTTCAAAACATTTGTCACGGTGTTACTTACATTTTTCTCACATTCAACGCACATAAACAAACCAATTATTCTTCTACGTAGTCGTATATCGGTTCCATGCATAAAGCCACTATTCTTGACCATCACTAATTCATGCCTCTCTTAAATTGGCTCGTGCCGATTTTAAAGAGGATACCGGCGCTTTCTTACGTATTTCATTTTTATTTATTTCGCATATGACGTGCGAGAATTCTTTCGTTTCTTCCGTCTTTCGTTGCATTAGAAAAAAAAGAAGAGAGAGAGAGAGAGAGAGAGAAAAAAAAAGAAAAGAGATAATATGAGAAACGTGTGTGAACGTAGATAAGAATTAACTGTGGCTAGGATCGTTTAAGGGGATTTAATGAAAAAAAAAAAAAAAAAAGAGAGAGAAATCAAGAGAAAGGGAGAGAGAAAATTTTGTTAAAACAAGAGAATTGGTGTGAAAAAAACTTACGCGACATTTTTGTATCTATATGTAGAAAATTTTTATATACTTATGACGTATTATTGACTATTATTACTATTAGTAGTAATTATTATTGTTATAATTATTATTATTATTATTGCTATTATTATTATTAGTTGTAATTATAATTATTATTGTG